CGACATACCCCCACACAAAAAAACTAAAAAAACCCCCTCACAATGTATTTTCAAAAGAGTATACTTAAGTCACATCAGTTATAAAATGCAGCCTGTAGCACAATCAGAGAGGAATGAGATGCAGCGGGAAGAAATCCCTTAAGCTGCCAAAAACTTCAGCTTTGTGAAACTATTCGCAGCATTCATGGAAAGTATTCAAGGCTCTCTAACTGCAGTTCTCTTAATCCCAGGTCATATTTCAACATGCACTCAATGAAATTCAGTAACACCAGGTAAGCTGAGAATAGACATACAAGCGTGAAAGTTATGAAGACCTTGCAGCATGTTTTAGAAATATAATTGTATCTTTGAATAAAATACCCTGAGGTATAATATTATTTGATATTGCTTACACTAAGTTAATCATTATAAACCTAGCATTGGCAAAATTATATTTCTGCTGATTCTAGAGGCCATCATCAAAAGTTATTTTGCTTTATGGCATACAAAGCTTCCTTTACGATAACTGGAAAGGTAAAGGGGAGGGGAAAACCAACAAACATTGCTGTACTAGAACATCAGTGCACCACACTACTGTTTATTGTTTTCTCCCAGATAGTAAAAGCCCCACTACTTCCAAACCAAGCACCTGCTCTGGACAAGGTCTAAAGATGAGTTTTGTAATCATAGACATAGCATCTTTCTCTCTTAGATAAAGTCACATTGCATAAACAAAACTACTAAGTTTACTACACCTCATTAAATAAGCTGTAGGATGGTCAAGTGAAGGAATATCACAGTTTTAGTATGACTTCTCTTTGCCATTTGGAACACTCAGGTCACAGGTGTTTTAACTAGTACCCTTGTATCGACTGCATCATCCGAAGTATCCCACAAAGAACACAACATAGTCCTCTATCACACAGAAATCTGCCTACATACCGCAGAAGCGCATACTATCACTAAACATTTTTTGCAGATTTAATACCTTTCCTGAAGAAGTGGATTTTGTTCTCTGAGAATTGTAGTCTGAAGTTAACTACTTAAGATTTTCACCACATAGAGTTAAAAAAAGATCCTAGAAACTGAAAAGGAACTATAGCTGGCATAAAGAGTTTGGAAAGATAACTAATGACAAATAAATAATTTTAAGATGGAATATATTGCAACTGCAACTGATCGAAATGATGGTTAACTTCCAATGTCAAAACAAAACAGCTGATAGAAAAAGCTGTTTTAACCCCTGTTCACTGATGATTAAGTGCCTTTAATAAAAAGTAACTAAGTAAATTCCACAAACATTAGTAGCTTCTCATACATTTTGATCATCTTATTTTTCTTTTTCTCCAGAAAAACTAACCTTTATAAGACAAGAATGCACTTCTCAAACTTCACTGCATCTGTACCCTCGATCTTAGCTTTTCATTACTACAGTAAAATAAAAATAGATAAAACAGATAAAAAAAAAAAAAAGCCAACAAGCAAAGGAAGGGGTGGGGAGAAGGAACAAAATAGCCATTAGAAAAAAACTGGGGTTAGTATGAGCAATAGGCTGGTTGTACTGCAGGCTGTAATAGCAATTTTAGCAACACATAAAATTTTCTGTGAAGCCATCTGGACACCAGACAGCTATTCCAACAACTCAACACATACTCTTGTTTAAGAAATTAAAATGAAGAGCTCATTTGAAAGAACTGTCACCTATTTGATCTTTCACAAAGAGAGAAGAAAATTCTCAGTCCCAGGTAGAGCTAAACTGAAGTCACAACACTACATGTTACCAGCAGCTTAAGCTAAAAAAATTATTAAAAAAAAAAACAACCAAAAAACCACAAAAAACCTGCCCACACAGTATTTTTCACATTGGAGTACTTCTTCAAAACTCTATAATAAATATATATAATACATATACTTCATTATCAGAAAAAAAAGCAACTAAATTATTTTTATATTAGAACTCAAACAAGGTGGCTCTACTAATCACTGATAAGACTGACAGGGAAGGACAAAGAATTAACCTCTCTCGCCAGAGTCTAGATTTCAGTTCTGCAAATTCCATGAGATATTTTGGAATGGAACTGATTTCAAGAAAAGTATTCTGTATAGGGCAAATTTAAAAGAAAGTAAAACTTTAAAAAAAAAATCAGTTCAGATTTCTTCTGCACCATGTTTGCTGTTGGACTAGAAACTGAATTGAGCCTGACATGGGATATGAGACTAAACCAGGAAAGAAACACATAAAAGAACTCCAAGAATAAGCATAAGAAAATTGGATATACTTATAAGGAAATACGACACACCTAGTAATTAAGGCTTTGAGCTTTGAATACACTTCTTATGATGCAGAACAATTCCAAATTAGGCATAAACACCAGGATATAACTGAACTGAGCCTCTCACACTTCGGTACAAGCAAACTTGAGTGATTCTTATTCTGTTTTCTATAGCATGTTTTAATTTCAGTAAATGAAATCAAGTGCCTACTGATGTTAGATAAAGCAGAGTAAAAAAAAAAAAAAAAAAAACAACAAACAACAATGGGAATCCTGTAAGTTTTAATAGATTTAGAATTTTGCTACCAAAAAATAGTTTAAAAGTATATTTTTGTAGAACCTTCAGTTTTAGCATTCTACTTTAATGCAATTATGTTTCATTAGCCCACATAATGCATAAATATGTTCAGTTATATAAGGTGGAACTATCCTATTGATCTTTAAGGAAACAGCTGTCAATACAATTCGTAACTATAAAATTCATAATACAAATTTTTAAACTAGTAATTAAACTCAGTAACTTTAAGAAACAGCAATAATTCAAGTAATGATTTATCATTGAACATATATCTTTAACTACAGGAATTTTTTTCCAAGTCATTCAACAGAGCTAAGCATGATAAAAATTATAGTGAGGAATATTCTCTGGATTTATTTAATTTGTGTTTCGGAAGGTATCTAACATTTCCTGTCACTGAGCGAGATCCACCCATGCAACTGTTTGCACATGTAGAGTATCAACTCTTTGACTGTTGTGACAATGCTCAAAGTAGCACTGCACCAGTAATTATTCAAAACCTGCTGCTATTTTCAGTCATGATATGTATTTCCCAGCATTGCACTGCTTTGGTGAAGTTTTACTGTGACATAAACTGTTACTAGTACTAGAGTGTTTCCAATGACAGAACTGAATTTAAAAAAAAAAAACAAAAAAACAAACAAAAAAAAAACACCAAACCACCCAAACATGTAAAGAGGGTTTGAATGCACTATGAATAAGCTTCTGGAAAAAGGAAATAGCTGAACAACACTGGATTTTCAATTTTGCGGTACTAAATAGAGATGAGATTAAATTCTACACTTACAGAAAGACCTTTTTCTAACGCTTTCATCCATCAGACTCATTCAATGACAAACGCCTGTTAGCTTGAATAACTTATACTGAACAACGCTTAACTTTGTCATAACAAACAACAAATTCCATTTTCTTTAACGAACTTTATCAAATATTATGCAGAATAATTATCTTACTTAACATAAAAGCCTCTTCAAATAGAAGGGAAAAGGGAAAACTTTAAGAGAGGCAGTATTTCAAGATATTTGATCATTACTGATTTAAAGCAATAACTTTAACTGTATATACTTTATTCCTTATAAAAGGAATAAACTTTTTTCCATCTTTGGTAATTACTTTGTGTAAAGATCTCCACAAGATGGTGCTGTAGTCCTATTTTAGGAGATAATATCTATTTCCCATTGAATCGGTCTTAACATTTAGAAGAAAACCTAATTTCATTGGTGGCATAATGAACAGTGATTTGCAAGGTCTATTTTCATCTAAGGTGCAAAACATATTCACATCAGCTAACTTTCCAATTTTAATTTTTTTTGTTTTAAACAACTGGAAAAAGTTATATTGCAAAAGTCCCAAAATGTTCAACTAAAGTTTATATAACATAATGGATCACTGTATGTTCTTCTGTTTGTATGTAAAATAAAGTCAATTTATATTGCATATGGTTACAGGAAAAAAAAAAAAAAATCATAATTATTGTTAAAACACATAAACCATTTTTTACAGCATAATGCCAAACAGCTGCTTTCACCTTTATTTGCAAATTCTGCCAAAAAAATCTACTGGTTTTGTGATATAAAACTCCAAAAATCTTTTTAAGTTAAATTAGTATTACAGCACAAAGAAACCTTGATATGATAGGCTACCAATTTACAAAAAGTAATAAATAAATAAATCTTATCAAACCTCACACATCTTTGGTTTGATTACATAAAGTTTATGGATTACTTACATCTACTTACATCTCTAAAGAGAAATTTTAATATGGCTTCAAATCATAAAAATTGTGGGTATCTTTGTATACTGGATGGTCTCCATCTGTGCTGCTGGTCTTAAAATGTGTTGGGCAAGAGCACTAAAACACTCAACACATCTCTTGCAGTCAAAGTCTGTGGACTTACTTGCACGTTTTAATGTTTAGGATCAAACTGACCCTCACTTTGTCAGTGTTAATGGAAGCCATAATGTGTTGGTGCTTTCCAGATCAGCATGAAAATTAAAAAAAAAAAAAAACCCAACAGCAAAAGAAATACATATTTAAAATTGTGTATTTAAGTTTTCATTAAGACTTATTCAACAGTACAGATGGTAAGATGGTATGTAATACAGCCTCTTGGGTGCAATATGCAAGTCCCAGCTGGAATGTTTCCAACAGGATGTAAACCACGGTCCTCAAGCCTGCACTTTAAAAAACATATTACTTAGCACACTGCTTACAAATGTCAACACAAAAATACACTCCTGTAATGACTTCACTTTACAAAAGTGGAGGAGAGGCTATTTGAACAGTTTTTAAAGCAAAAAAAATCGGTGCCGACGGGAGGGAAATCAGTACACAGATGTATTAGAAAATATTTATTCAAAGGAATAAAAGCACTGGTGATCATTACAAATTTGATCTATTAAAAATTTAACGCTTACAAACATACATATTAATTCTGATGTTCATAAGCCTACAGAGACCAGGTCTGAAGACCTGTGCTTTCAGGTCTTCTCAGAGGTGTTGCTTGAGGTTTTCAACAATTCTGAGGTTTCTTCAATTCTGAAAATAAATTTTGTTTACACACACACACACTTATTAAAATACGGTATGAAATAACTGACTTGTCTTTAACTTTCTAATGAATCCAAAATACTAACAAGCAGCACGAGACATTAAATTACCTCTCATACCTGCTTCTCCTCTGCACTTGGTTTGTATTTTAAATGTGTACCACATATCAATAAATGTGAAGTATACATAAAGAAAGAAATAACCCACACAAAAAATTAAATCTCAAAAAAATGGCCACAGCATTTTTCAGGCCAGGCACTTCTAGAATAGAAATCTCTTGCTAAAGAAACATTATACAGCAATGCATTTCTCTTTAATAAAAACATTTCTTACACAAAGAATTTTCACTACAAATCTCAGGACAAGTATCAAATACACCTGAAATACAGTTCTCACAATGTTTAGCCTGAAAATGGCTTTACTTTTCCTGAAGTAATAAAAACCAGAGTTAAGATAGTATAGTTATTTTTCAGGAAGAAAAGTTTCAAGTACCACGGAACTCCCATCAGGAGATAAGTAATATTCCTATTCCTTGTCAACCAGATTCTAAACATTATTTAATCTCTAGTTAATACTATTAAGAATGCTTTCTATTGCTTTTTAGAAACCAAAATAGTGACTCATCCCACAAATTCAGAACTGTAGGAGGATTTATTATCCAGTGGAGTCATAAGGAAATGCCACACCTGATGTAGAGACCTTTGAGGTTTGGAACACATATGTACATTCTCTATATGCCTTAGTCCAGTACAACTCCCTCCTGGGAAATGAATTCCTTCTGCCCTTTCCTATTACTTACATTTTACTTATCCTTTCCATTCTTTGTCTTGTTGTCTCCTGCAATTTAAAAGCAACAAAGTTAGTGAACTCTTCAAAGCTAACATTCTTCAGATGGACTTTCAATCTGAAAAAAACATAGAGAAAATGTGACTTTTAAGCACTGTTTACATATCGAAAGGATTTTCATGAGACAGACCTAGATGTAGTTTTGCATAGTTTCCTTGTTTTTCACTAGTAGTATATACAACTAAAACTAATGCTTACTTGTTCTCTTGACCTCAGAAAGGAAATCAACTAAGCATTTGCCAGTTTTACTTACCTTTGAAATGTCTGTCAGACCACAAGAATTAATGGTCATGGCTTTGGGAGATGGGTCTGTGGATAATAGTGAACTGTATCCATACAACTGATGAAGACTCTCTGGCATCTCCTCCTTCCTCTCTGTATCTATGGAGAAACACTCATTTTTGTGTCACCTTTGCCTTTTTGCTCTCTTATTGCAAGGTCAGCTATCAAACAGTTTGATTTACAGTATGTAATAACAGAAGAGAATGTATTGTTTAGAGACGGAAAAAGCTACTGGTGAGGGTCCAAAATAGGTTTCTCATTTTCTTAAAAAAAGGTAAGTGCAATATACTACGTATAACACACACAAGAAAAATTTTTAAAAAAGATTACTAAGAATGCTACCTTTATCCTGATTACAGTGAAATCAGCACTTAAGAAAGTCTAATTACTGGGTCAAACATTTAAAAGTAATTTCAAATAGCTTTCATTATTTTTACTGTAAACTACCTGTTCAAACACCTTTAATATGTAAGTAACCTGTCTTACAAACAGCAGAAATATTAACAAAATCATCACCTTCTTGTTTAGCTTAAAATTTTTATCAAGCTCTTGCTGTTTCCCTAGCTCTCTCCCCATTGGGATAAGTTTAGCATCCATTCAGCAGAAACAGCCTTTTCTTTTACATTAGGAAGGCTTTGACACTCTTTGCAATTTCAGAATGCCATTATCGGGGAAGAGAATTTAGTATTTAGAAAAAAAGAAAAAGTGTTCCCATATCCTTATTTTCAATAAGGTCACCATCTATGAATCTATGAAACCTTTGGAGCAGGTTACCTACACTATTCAGTATTTAAAATAATATTAAATTACTTTTAATAAATTTTAAAAGTGTTTCTTCTGTACAGCTACGATTTCTGGATAGTACTACTACCAAAAAGAGAATCAAAGCATTCCAAGTGCTGTACATCTTGGATGTAAGACTTAAGACTGGTGGCACACCTTGTATGCTTAAATTTCCTGACTCATACTTTAGAAAAACAGGAATAACAAATTTGGAAGAATACTAGAAGTCCAAAGAGCTTATTTATAAGCTCTTATAAAGAGCTTATTTTTAAAACATTATGTTAACTGCTTTAAAGTGCAGCTAACATTGTTTTTCACAGCTTTAGCTACAGCACCTTAATTAAATTTGCATCTTTGAGATTTTTAGTAGTCCTTGTAACCCTTAATTACTATGCTATCAATTTTCATTAATGCTTTAAAAACTATTTCAGTAAATAAAGCTTCTAAAGAGTAAACTAAAAGCATGAAATGACTAGCAGGTTAACTTCCAACTCACAGCATGCATTTAAATTCAGAGGTCACTAAATTACAATTGTCTGCTTAAAAATCACTATTTTAGTCAAGGTCAGCAAAAAGTGTTAGCATATGATGTTAACTAAAAATTAAATCATTAATACTCACAAGGAGAAACTGGAATCCTACTAGAAGTACATTCTTGATTTATACTGCTAGACTCTGTAGATAAGTCTCTCTGAAATAGAGGTTTACTACATTTTAGCCATACAACCTGTTTAAATCATCCTTAAATTATTAAATTAATCATTAAATTACCTTAAAAGGTATATTTATTTAAGTACTAATTATGTATGCATTTGCTACACCATACAGATATGTTGGCACTGCACAAATGTCTTTACAGGACTAAAAAAATCCAAGATTTCCATACATATGTTGCATTAAAAAAATAGTTTATTTCATGGTGACTTTTTGCATATCAATATTGCTGTTTGTAAACAGGTCAACACCAGGTTCAAATATAGTGCATATAACTTTGGTATGAGTAGAATGAACAATAGTAGAATGACCAATCAGACTGTTCTTGGGCTGTGCTAACAATTACATCTTGACATTGGCTGCCGATACCTCCACAAAATAAGTGTACCTTCTACTACTTCTGGTTGATATTCAGCAATGCAGCTCCTCGGTCCTAAAAAATTAGCCTACAGATGAACTGAAATTCATTCCACTTAAATGTTTAGAACTCAAAAGTCTATTTTAAGCTAGTGTCCCAGGCTCCTAAATGAGAGGGCTCTCTTCAGAAAGGTTTGCAGTTTAATTTAATCTAGCTTACAAAAGGTTGTTCATAAGCAGGGAAACAAAGTTAATATTGTACTAACAATAAATATTTTTAAGTGCAATTTTCTAATTTCAAGATTAAAAAAAAAAAAATCCAACACTCATAAACAAGATCCAGACTTTTTTCACCAATGAGTTCTCAATATGATTTGAAATCTCAGCCTTTGATAAAAGTGTATCTCTTTATATACTGGAGTAAGTGTATCAGTTAACAGGGAAATATTATACCCAAATAAGTGAATGATGGAGAGACAGTAGGTACTATGTGGGAAGCAGCTGGAAAAAAATCTGTAATAATGGATATCTCTTAAAAAAAAAAAAAAAAAAAAAATGCACTGACTACTTCTGCTCAATTCCTTTCATTGAAATGGATTTGGTAGCTTTCAGACTTTCCCAGAGCTAAATGCACAGCTGCTGCTACTTTGGCTGCAGTGCAAGACAGATCTTAGACTGTTCCTGCTAAGTTGGCTAGATGCCAAAAGTTCCCTGAAAAATGCAAGCACAAGAAGAAAGGAGCAATTCTGAATTGTTTCTCTATCTGTGAGCACAGCTTGGATGGAATTTCATGAAACAAAGAAGCAGCAATTCTCTGGCCCAAAGGATTACTTCTTGGCAGTTTTCAAACGCCTATTGCAGAAAAGTTAGAGTTGTGGAGACTTTTTTTTTAAATATAAAAAACAGCTTCTTTTGCTCTGAAACAAGCAACAATGCCACATACAAACCAAATTCAAACTTCTTTCTGCAGATGACTTCTATCAGAAACATGCAGTGCAGAAATATAATTATCTTACCGGAAATTTTTGAGTGATACTAATGTTAAGTATTTTCCAAATAGTACCCCAAACCTTTGAACAACTGCAATAAATATGTTACTGAAGTAATAGTAAAATAAATTTATAGAAATAAAAAAACAAGCCTAGTCTGAAACACAAGACTTCCTGTGCTGCTACTGTCATAAACGCAGCAACTATCTCTTGAAGAGAATACACTTGAAACAGGAGAAAAAGTGTTTAGGGCTGTTTAGCTAAAGCCTCTTGAAACTGCTAGCAGAAGAAAACATTATCATTGGTGCTATTATTTAGACATATGTTCACTGATAATTAAATTACAATATCCATAAGAAATTTATTTAAAATGGTAAATCACTTGATCCGTTACTGACCTGAAACTGTGTTCAACAAAAAAAAAAAAAGTGATTGAGAATGTCAATCCTTATCATCTGAGCTACTGCCTTTAGAAATAACCTAGTGATGAGTCTGAACACTTCTCCTTTTCAAACTTTGCAAAACCAGCACACTTTCAAGGCACACGGGAAAAAAACACGTATTGTGTACAAGTATTAGTGACATTTTCAAATTTGCCAGGGCCAGCTACGCATTCAGAGCTCCTGGTTCCAAGTAAATTCAACATTTTTACAACTACAGAGAAAAACACAACACTGATCAACCGCTTTCCAGAAGCTGAAAACTGTTGTGGAAAGTATCTGACACGACCCAAAGAATACATGAGACACCCATGCAAATACACTTGGAAATTAAGCATGTGATTACAAAACTGATGCTACGGTTCACTGCATCTCAAAATATTTACATGTGCACATATATGAAGTTATATAATACACACAAGAACATTTCAACAGCACAAAAAATAATACACAATCTGAATGCAGCAAAATACTTAATTTGTTTTGACAAATATGCCAAATGTAGCCACATCACAACTGTAGCACTTTCACACATTTAAAAATGCAGTGAACACCACGGACAAGAAATAGGAAGGCGGGTCGGTGGGGCATGCAAAAAGGAGAAAGATTAATCAATTAGGCTAGAAATTCCGAAGATTCACAAACTAAGTGTAGGAATAAAGTAAGAGTTAACTTTTCCATTAACCTTGTATTTTCCATTGAGCATGCCATCTATTTTTGTCAACATTAGTTATATAGAATGAAGACTTAATCTTCTAAAGGGAATATTTGTATCTGATTAGAGTTTGGTGAATTAAATGAAACAGATATCCAAATGTATCAACAACAAATAGGTATTCAACTGTATGAACAACAACATTTGCAGGTGAGTATAAGAAATTCGGAATAATGCAGACCAGAATAAGGAAACCCTTAAATGTGTCACTAGCATGATGAAATTCTCAAATGCAGAAACACTAAGCTTTCAAAAACAGCATAATTATAAGTCTTCAAAAGCTTCCTTCTACAAGTTTACTAGGAAATTAAAACACACAGTCATTATTAATGAAAATAGGCTGAGCTACACCTGCTGTTCCTGCAAGGAAACAATTTCCAATGGAGAGCTTTGCTTCAGAGCGCATGAGAAAACAACAGAATTTAACAGTTAAGAAAAAAATACCATCAAGTCCATAAATAGCACTTCCATTCAGATCATGCTTTTAAAAACAGTGAAAAGCATAGAAGAAAAACATAAGTTACCATACCTTTTTGGACTGCAATAACAAAAGTTCTGTTTCAAGAAGCAAAACTCGACTCAACATGTTATTCCAGTCTTTCTCATCTACGATCACCTTTCCCTTCAGTTTCTCTTCTAAAACATGGAGTTTGTCTTCCATCCAATCTAGTTTATGAAGCTTTTCCTGGCAATCAGCAAGCTGGCTCTTTAGGAACTCAATCTGAGAATTATCTTCTATGACCTGAAAATATGGATAAGAACACATGTCCTCTCATTTCAAAACAGATATAATTTAATTGATTAAATGATTAATTAAGTGCAATCTTCCTGAAGTTCAGTAACCAACATTATGCTACATTAGAAAATTATTTTTCTTTCAGAATTGCCATAATATGCCCATTCACGGAACTCAGCTTTTAAAGAAACTATTGACAGAACTGGCTCTTGAAAGGACAGTACAACTTAAATTACTTTTTTCAACTTTTTCAACATATCTATTAGTTATACTTAAGGAGCATCCAGATATCTTTTTAAAACTTTTACTTATTTAGAAAAGCCTTGTAAGAAAAGTTAAGAATACAGGCGGACAGCACCTTAAGTAAAAGTTCTTACTTGTTCACATTTAGCTTGCACAACATCATGATCTTGGCTCAATTCTTCTTCACCACCTCCCTGTGCTGGAAGGGGTAGTGGATGAAGGTCATCACTAACTTCATTTCCTGCATGCCGTTCTACTTGTGGCTTGAGCGTGTTAAAAAAAAAAAAAATTCACTGGTATTATAATAGAATAACATTTCAATTCATCAGCCAAATAACTGACATAAAAGACCATCATTTCAGCATTTATTTAAATCTGCCAATCTTATCCCAACTGGTTGACTGCTTACAAAACACAGAAAGCAAGAGCAGGCAGTTTAATTTAAAATACCATATAGGTATGAAACTGTAAAAAAAATATGCACACACTTTACCACATATACTCTGCACCTTGGTTCCTTTCCATAAACAGCAATGGAGGAATTAATATGTTCTCTTATTGTAAAAATATGCACACACTTTACCACATATACTCTGCCCCTTGGTTCCTTTCCATAAACAGCAATTAATATGCTCTCTTATTGTAAGGGTTGTTAGATTTCTAAGTGTGGGAGGTATGAATCTTGCTGTATGTATTAACATATGTATAGACAGTTCCAACATCAGAACCACTACTGAAACATTCAAAAAAGAAAAAGTTTAACTAGGAATATTAGAACTCTCTCTTTTCCTAGACAAATGTCAGCAAAATAGCTCTGCTAGCTACATATTTCATTTCCTTTGAATGCTTTCCTTAGAGAGAACAAAGTAAGAGACAAATTTTGCCTTTCTTTCCAGGTGGATCAAGTCCTATGATCACTACCTGCCACATAACACAATAAATTACCTAATGATTAAGGTAGTTTTATTAGTTTTGAGCAGCATCTTAACACTTGCAGATTCCTGGATGTTTTAGTGAAGCTGAAACTCTGCTCTTCTAGGGAATTCTTAATACACTCACATATATCCCCATTCAGTTCTACCATTCAACAACTAGAAGTGCCAGGTAAGTCATTACAAATATTTTATTTGTGAAATTTTCCTCTGCTAAAAGAGTATTTTCCTTCTAAATAGAAATCACCAATATTTAACAGGCAGTCACAGCCCTACAAGCTTTGTACAATTTTACTTTGCACCCTTTGAGCAGAAAATGTTAGGAAAGTCGTCTCCTCCACAGGCCAAGAATAGCATAAAGCATAAGATCAACTGTTACTCTTGTAGAACTGAAGCCATGAGGAATGTTACACTAAGAAATCTTTGCTGAACAGATTGAGAGAATAGAGCAAAAAGTGGTTTGAAAGCTACACTGAAAACATTGCAAATATTAGGCCAAATACACTTCAATTTCCAAACAGGATGTATACTCTTTTTTCATTTGCATCTTCATTTTCATTGCTGTCCCTCCATTTGATATAATTCAAACAACGGTACTAGATCATTACCACCGAGACTTTGAGATCAAATACTCAGTAAGAAAGAAGCAATATACTCTGTATTTCAGCTATTATTTCAGTCAACCATACTTTGGTAAAACAAACAAAACCCAACTGCTCTGATCAAGTATCAAAACCTAAATGAAAACACATATTCCAGAAAGAGCCTGACTTGTTACAAATGAAATTAACCTTTAGACATACAACATAAAAACTTTTCATACCTGTTTGGAATTCAGAGTATTGCCACTAGAATCAGCAAGGACATTATCACAATTTGACCATACTTCATATTTAAAAGATCTGAGTTTTTTCCTTGTTTGGGATTTAACCTTCAAAGGAAACAGGAGAAAATATTAAGCTTCTAATACAGAAGTATTTTCCAGGGAGGAAAACAACATGGGGAATGGGATGACACACCCCATTTTCTGCCATCATTAACAGGCAGAAATATCACATGGCACACACACACATTTAAACCTCTGCAGTACAATAATGCCTAAAAAAAAAAAATTTAAATACAACCCAAATTTACAGAGAAAACAGTTCTGTAAGTGAATGACGTATTCATATACTTAATAACACTTATGCAAGGCTGCATCAAAGCTGGTCGTAAAGAGAAAAGACAACTTGCACCAGAGTTGTAAGACAAACAAATATGAAAAAAAAAAAGTAGTTATGCCTCCAAAAGTGAAAAATTAAGCATACAGAAGTCCTGAAGACTGTTATAAACTTAAATGAAACAAAATCCTTTAAAACATAAAAACTGAAAATTCCTTTTATTAAAATATACACTGTTAAAAAATGCCTTACCAATGTAAAATGAATAAGATTAATGAAAATAACCAGATTAGAGATGTATACCACGGAAACACAAATAAAAAGTGTCATGTTTAAATTAAATGTTACCAGAACTTCAATATATCAGATGGTTTTGCTCTGTTTTTAAGTCTACCTGCAAAGTCTACTGAGTTACACAAACATTCACTATGTTGAGAAGTATAAAAGAAAAAATATCACTTAAAGATACCAAGTAGTATTTTTTTTGTTTATACTACAAAGCACTGGCAGCTTCATTCCTTTTGTATACCAGATAGCACTCAAGCATCTTACAATGGCTATTCATACTAATTTTCCCCCTATTTTGACTATCAGTGATGCAGCATCTTTACTTCAAATAAACTGGTCTTCAGCTTCTACCTTCAGCATCAAGCATGTCAAAAGAAACTTATAAGAGAGTTACCATTTAAGCAGTACCTTATTCGAGTTACTTAATTCCTTATCTTTTTTCACCACACAGTTGATAATGTCACAAACAATCTGCATTTTTCTTTCTGCAAAGCCAAACTGAAGAAACTGCTGTTTTGTTAAAATTGGTTTATATTGAAATTGATCTCGAAGAAGCTGCAACAAAATAAAAGAATTTACTTCACTTTCAAAATAACCACACAATTTGTTGTAGAAATGCCAAGCTCAGGTTCTTATTTTTCTACAGTTTTTTCTTTAATTCTGCACTTCAGCAGTTAAACCTTTTTTCATTTGTTTATTTATATATCCTCAGCTGTTTCTTCTAACTACTTTCAACATACCTCTTCCAGAAACATTTCATTCATACCACTCTTGTAAAGTTTAACTCACAGTCTTAAGATTAACTAAATAAATGATTGTAGATATTAATATTTAAAAAGTTAAACAAAAACTTTCCAAAGTGAATGCACAATAAAAAGTTGTATTAATCTCAGCATATACGTCAGAGGGTGAAGTAAGGCTCCCACAGAGCCTCTTTGTAAAGGAGTCTCTGTCCTCCTCAGATGGAAAACTAGTCTGAATAAGCAAGTATTCATTAATATATTAAGCCACTTTTTATAAAAATGTGCTTATGGATATTTTTAAGGATAGTTCAATACATGATAGTTAATGATAGTTTTAATTTAGTTAAGAAATTTATTTTATTACAATTTACAAACCGTTAAGAACTGGACTTTGTATATTAATTTTGCATGGTGCTTTAAAATAATTGTATTTCTTAGTTATGTCTTCATTACAATTATTGAAGTTTACTGTGATTTTTTGCTGGTTATGATTTCTTTTAAGGTCACTTCTATAAAACCTAATGTGTAATAAATATTTCAGTATTCTTCACAACTAACATAAAACACAGTAATATTATCAAGTCTGCAGCTGTCTCCAAATTGAGATTTGGCTAACAACATCCAGCCTTATTTTCACAAAAATCTAAATAAAGACTTACCACACAGTGACTTACTACTCATCTTAAATCCTAACAGAATTACAATTCACGTTCACTGTCAAAAACTTTCACTTTCTAGTAAAATTCATATTAGATGTTTAATTTTTATGATGCCATACTCAAAACTGGGTCTCTTCTGCAGAGAACATGAAGGCACATACCTTGTAAATAGCTTCAATAAAACGCAAGTCACTCTTTGCTGTGAGTTCCACATCACACTTTACCAAAAGTTCTGCTATGCAAGTTGAAAAAGATGTAAAAGAATAGCTGATGATAGGTAAAAATGCAGCTGGATCACCCTTTACTAACCTATTGAGAAACAAAAGTTTTTTACACAGCAGAAGATAACAGAAGCTTTTAATTACACTAATTCAAACATTTAACTTGAAAGGTTTTTTAATATAGCCAGTAAGTTATCCCAAATATCTCCCTCATTTTAAGGTTCTTTTCCAGGCATATCTCATTCAAGAGTCTTTACTGTTGTCTGTAAAATGCTCAAAACAATGTTTTCGCGACCTTCATTTAATATTAATATCATCAGGTCTAAAGCCCACCAGCATTCCCATCTCAACGTTCAACACCTTTTTGTTTTAATCTTTACAGGATGAAATTTCCTGAAGAAAGTTTTGATAGCACTTACAAAGAAATTATAAAGGTGAGAGATTAATCAAATAAAAGAGAAAGACATCAGAAGATATAAAAGCAAGACAGTGACACTCTTCAGGATTATTCTAAGGATTGCTCAGAACAGCAAAACTCCATCCTTTCATCTTCCAGTTCACATGTATCAAACCCCAACTTTCCACAGACACATGCTCTGCTTACTCATCCCTGAGTGCAACGCTAATATTTATACATATCTTGGTTCCATATCTTGCTGTCATCATGTATTAGCATAAACTTATTCCCACTGCCGCTTACAGTGTATAATCCACATCTCTTGGATAATTTAACAAGCGAAGTCCTTGTTCTATTTTTCTTAAACTTCCTTTTAGGTCTCCTGTTGCCATTATTCCAAAAGCTATTCTTCTTTCAGATTATGAAATAACTGTAATATAGTACATTCTCCTCCTTAAAAAAAAAAGAAAAAAAAAAATGTACACAAAAATTACAAAATGCAATAGAATTATCACTGAAATTCAAAGGTTTTTGCTCCTTTTTCTAGACACTGCTATTCCCAAAGTAATACAATACAGCACAGGACTAGGGCTCCATACCAATTAGTATCAGTCATCACCTTCATTCATTCTAAATGGGATCAAGTGGTAACCCTCAATCCGATCAACTACCAAAGATCTTTAAAGATAAAGATATCTGACAGCATATTAGAATTAAAGGCTGGCTAAATCCACTAAAACCGAATGAAAACAAGTTTCTTCACAGTTTCAAAGGAGCAGAAACTACAGAAGCAGTGAAACCCTTTTGCATTCTTCAGTTTAGAATGCTTCTTATTATTTTCTTCACCTGGCCCCAAACTCACTGGCCAAAAGAGCAATGTTTGGATATGTAAATATTGGAAGGCAGGACTAGCAATTCATCACAGACAATACTTCTCTATTTCAATGATTCATTAAATACACTTAAAATTGTTCAGGGGGGCAAGAAGGTAACAGACCGTGTAGATATTTCAAAATAGGGGCAAGTTTATTGGGATGATAACCAAAAGGTCCCTGTTTAACTTCTACATTGTAACACACAAGTTGAGAACTCACTTTTAATTTATTGTGGGCTTTGCTTCACAGAAGAGACACACCTAAGGATTCAGTGCAAATCACAAAAAAGTGCCTTTGAACTTGCAGATTTATTCTGCAAGGAAACTGAAGACTGTAAGAAAGAAAGAAAAAAAAAAAGAAAAAAGGGGAAGGGAAAAAAAGATAAAAAGAATCAGCAAAGCATGAAATCACCATCATCCAGATCTATCAAAAGGATAAATAAGCACAGGAAGCTCACACTTTTAATACATTTTACCAAACAGAACTTAATAGTAAATTCTCAAACGGAGGAAGAGGAGACTGGGAAAGAAAAGAAAAGAAAAGAAAAGAAAAGAAAAGAAAAGAAAAGAAAAGAAAAGAAAAGAAAAGAAAAGAAAAGAAAAGAAAAGAAAAGAAAAGAAAAGAAAGAGAAAAAGAAAAAGAAAAGAAATTGCCATAAGAGATCTAAAAATACTGGCAGCTCCCCCTGTACCTTCAAATTATCAGTACTACTAATAATCTTAAGAACCTTGTCCCTTACTCCAGTGCTTCAAAATACATTTATATTTAGAGATAGCCTACGAGTTCTATTTACTGTACCTTGCAACTGTTTGTTTATAAGCAATCAATATTAGTTCTTCTGCAATACAAGACTTTAAAAGCAAAGACTGGATGATGTCCCAGCTCTTAAGTGACAAATAAAAACAAATGGCCTGCATCTTAGCACTCTGGACAGACTGATATAACTTGATAAAGTCTATTAGCAAACTGCCATACTCAGTGTTTTTCAAATGGTTTAGAAAAAAAAAAGAGGAAAAAAAACATCCTTGAGATCTGCTTGTGACTGGCTTAATCCTCTACAGTACTTCCCCCAAAAGCTTCAGTAAAAGTAATGATTTCAGTTATAATGCCTTAAAACAAAAATTTACTGTTCAATTTTCTGTTAGAACTGGGAGATAATTGCCTGACACTGTCTTCATTGAACTTCTTTTTTTGCCAGGAAAAAAAAATACTTTGAAGTCTATCAACCCAAACAGCGAAGAGGCATTGCCTGACAGCCTACACATGAAGAGATATTCTCAAGATACAGCATTTTATATAATTTTTCTTGCTAACATATGAGATTCAGACCAAAGCTCTAAAGATATTATGTCTACCCTTGTCAGAAATCAACTCCGACAGTTGCTTCAGCCTGCAGCTTTGTTATTTGCTACTCATTAAAGCAATGAGTCTTTTTGAAATGAACTTCTTGACCACGCACTTTGCTTATAGTAAAAATTATATATACATATATATACGTGTATATATATATATATATATAAGTTAAAGCTTGCACTTGCAATGGTCTGGGTTTGTTGCGGGTTTGGTTTTTTGTACCTCTATGGTGTTTAAATCAGCAATCTTCAAAAAGATTAAGGTCTTCACCTGTGTTCCATCCTTATTAAAGTATTTTCTTACTATTTAAGTATTATATTCTTCTTTCATCATTAGGTTCTGGGTTATTAGTCATGCTGAATATAAGTACACAACACTCATTGTTAAAGGCTAGGGACAATTTAACCTCAAATCTGAAACTGAGGAAGCTAGTCTTCCTGCGTTACCTTACAAAGTGATGGATCCCATGGTTTTGCTGATTCAACCAGATCTCAAGAGAAGTCTCAGAGCCCGACATAAAACTGAAGCTCTAATCTGCAATGCATATACACACAAAAGGCACTCTCCCAGGAATTCATCTAATTATTTAGACTGCTTCCCAAAATTATGAATAATTCTCTTTACATCAGACCTCTGGATGCAAAAACTGGCAACTACTGTCACTACAAACTGAATAGCTCAAGAGATCATAAAAATAACAAGAGTTCAGTTCGTAGAAAATACTTCAACATCTTGGGAAGGAGAACACTGTAAAAAGTGGCACATAGCTTTTACCTGTAGGAATTCATGACAGAACAGTTACACAACATTGGCTATCCAGAATAAAATCAGCTATAACAAAGTTTAAAGAAATTATAACCTAGAACTGCAAGTGGTTTAAAGAACTCTCAAAAGTATGCATGGTATTCGAAAATCTAATGAATGTAAAACAAACAAACAAACAACAAAACAAACAATAAACCACCGAACACCACTACGCAAGTTGCCACGTATCAGCACAGCCTTTGAAGCGTCTAACCAAAAAGGCTGGTGGTTTTTTCGAATTGACTGCAGACTCTCTGTTACGCGGGGCGGGGAGCCGGGCAGCGCACCGTTAGCAGAGATGCCAAAACGTCAAGGACAAACCCCGCGCTTTGCTACCGCGGCAGCTGCAACGGACACGCCTCACGCACACGGGACACC